AAGCAGCCACGAGCAAAGTCCACCTGTTTCACACAACAGCCCGACTGACCCAACCTTTAGAGCCAATTCTTTTCCCGAAGTTACGAATCTAATTTGCCGACTTCCCTTACCTACATTATTCTATCGACTAGAGGCTGTTCACCTTGGAGACCTGCTGCGGATATGGGTACGATCAGGCTGGAGATTTTAAATTGCCTCCCTCGTATTTTCACGGCTCATGTGGAGCACACGGGACACAACAGGAACCGCTGCGCTTTACGAGACCAGCATCCCTATCTCAGGCTGAGCCACTTCCAGGGACATGATCTCTAAACCAGAAAAGAGAACTCTGGCCCGGACTCCACACGAGGTCTACGAGTTCGTTTGCGTCACCGCGCAAAGTAATCCTTGCGGATCACCATCTCCCATGCCTGGTGTGGGAATATTAACCCACTTCCCTTTCGGCAACCGAGTAGACAATATACCGTTAAGTATCTCATCTCCCCGCAGTGTCTAGACGGCTTTAGCCGGTGCCTTAGGATCGACTGACCCACATTCAACTACTGTTCACGTGGAACCCTTCTCCACTTCAGTCTTCAAGGATCTCACTTGAATATTTGCTACTACCACCAAGATCTGCACTAGTGGAAGCTCCAGCTGGGTGCACACCCAAAGCCTTCATTGCAACCACTACGACCCTCTTACACGTCATTGCAAGACTTTTCACGGAAAATACAAGCATATGACGGCAGAGTATAGGTGGCCCGCTCCAGCGCCATCCATTTTCAGGGCTAGTTGATTCGGCAGGTGAGTTGTTACACACTCCTTAGCGGATTCCGACTTCCATGGCCACCGTCCTGCTGTCTGTATCAACCAACACCTTTTATGGTGTCTAATGAGCGGGCACTTTGGCACCTCAACTCCGCGTTTGGTTCATCCCACATCGCCAGTTCTGCTTACCAAAAATGGCCCACTTGGAACTCGTATTCAACGCCAAAGTTCAAAATCAAGCAACTTTGACATCATACCCATTTAGAGTTTGAGAATAGGTTAAGAACATTTCGTTCCCAAGTCCTCTAATCATTCGCTTTACCGAGTATAACTACTAATGAGCTCCAGCTATCCTGGGGGAAACTTCAGAGGGAACCAGCTACTAGATGGTTCGATTAGTCTTTCGCCCCTATACCCAAGTCAGACGATCGATTTGCACGTCAGAACCGCTTCGGACTTCCACCAGAGTTTCCTCTGGCTTCGTCCTGCTCAGGAATAGTTCACCATCTTTCGGGTCTCACCGCGTACGCTCTTCCTCCACCCTACTGTAAACAGTTAGAATGGGGCCATGCTGCCCTTTTTTACAAGATCGCACGTCAGACTCTAAAGAGCCATTTACTTTCATTTCGCTTTTAGGTTTTTAACACCCAAAAACTTGCGCACACGATAAACTCCTTGGTCCGTGTTTCAAGACGGGTCGGATAGATGACCGGCTTTTACATGGGGAGCGAGTACGAGAGCATTAACTGGACCGATCTAAATGAAAAGCACGTGTCGCATGCGACCGTAACTTACAATCAGATCGAACCAATAAATGCCCGTAAACCATACTCAAATGTCCAAGACAAAAGATGCTAACGCTGTTTGGGTACCAGCAAGCTGGCCTCAAAACGGCGGTTACAAATCTGCCTCAAACATCCCCAAGCACCAAACAAGCAAATGCATCACAGAAAATTATGATGCTTCTTTCTGTCCCAATCTGGAGCTCAGAGATCACAACATAAAAATAATGTAAATGAATACTTGAAAGATACGCCGAATCTATCCGTTTCCACCTCTCCGGTTTCACGTCCTCTTTAACTCTCTCTTCAAAGTGCTTTGCAACTTTCCTTCACAGTACTTGTTTGCTATCGGTCTCGTGGCAATATTGAGTCTTAGATGAAGTTTACCACCGACTTTGGGCTGCGATCCCAAACAACCCGACTCTAAAGCACGTAAATATCGATCAATTATCTCAATGTACAGGACTTGCACCTTCTGTGGAACCCCTGTCAAGGGGACTTATTTGAGACAAAAGATTAAAAATTACGGCTTATACGCTACACCTCATAATGCCTTAGGCAAAATGATTTAGCGATGGACATTTCCCTATTCACTCGCCGTTACTAGGGGAATCCTGTTTAGTTTCTTTTCCTCCGCTTACTGATATGCTTAAGTTCAGCGGGTGCTCTCGACTGAGTTCAGGTCAAAAAATCAATATTGTTGATGATACATGCGAACAATTAAACATATCTAACAATCAATTTAAAACATAAAGAAGCCACAAAAGCAATTATACAATAAAGCTTTCGCTTTGAAAGATAATGACCCTGAACCAGACATAGCAAAGGGTTTGACCCCTATGCGGCAATATGCGTTCAAAACTTTTATGCTCAAGGCTGCTGCAGTTCGCAAAACTTATCGCAGTTTGCTGCGTTCTTCATCGATCCACGAGCCTAGTGATCCACCGGAAAGGCTAGGAATTTTGTTTTTTTTTAAATATAAAAAAAGAGTGCTGGCGTCCTCACTTAAGAGGCTCATTAAGTCTTAAACTCATTATAGTCCTAACATGTCACCACATATACAGCCACGGACGTTCACAACTGTATCAGCAACACCTAGACACCAGCGACAGCCGTTACACAACAATTATTTCATTGCGATTCAAAATTGAACATCACATAAAGTAATGATCCAGCAGCAGGTTCACCTACAGCTACCTTGTTACGACTTTTGCCCGGTTCAAGCCACTGCGATTAAATTGGTTTCCATCAAAATAATTTAGATAAATTAACCCCCGTTTGTCTCTGTTAACCATTATCTCAGTCCGTAAAACCAATAAAACTGAACCGAAATCGTTTTCTATTATTCCATGCACAATCATTCAAGCGAAAACGCCTGTTTGAAGCACTCTGATTTGTTCAAAGTAAACTTGCAATGACTGTTAAAAATCCTGTTAAGGACTCAAAACCGAACATTACGATAAATCGATAACACCCAGAAACACCCGAAGGGTTCCAAGGTACCGATACGAATCCAACTACGAGCTTTTTAACCGCAGCAATAATTCTATGTATTAGCAGAGCTGGAATTACCGCGGCTGCTGGCACCAGACTTGCCCTCTGCTTGATACTCGTTAAAGGGTTTAAATTGTACCCATTCCGATGACCGGCCTCAAAGAGAACAGTCTCGTTATTTCTCGTCACTACCTCCTCGAGCCGAGAGTGGGTAATTTGCGCGCCTGCTGCCATCCTTAGACGTAGTGGCCATTTCTCAGGCCCCTTCTCCGGAGTCGAACCCTGATCCTCCGTTATCCGTCACCACCACGGGAGTCGATTATGCTCCCGTCAAGTTGATAAAGTGGACGCTTGAAAGACACGCCGCCGGCACAAGGCCATGCGGTCAGCTTAGTTATTCTGAGTCAACAAGAAGCAGCCGAAGCCGCGTGGTTTTGTTCTAATAAATGCGCTTTTCCGAGAGGACAAAGCTCTGGTGCATGTATTAGCTCTAGCTTTTCCACAGTTATCCATTTAGATAATCAAGATCAAGTAAATCATGGCCATTGTAATGAGCCGTTCGCGGTTTCTCGTTAAAACGATTAAACTTATACATGCATGGCTTAATCTTTGAAATGAACACATCAGTTCAGGCAGGATCAACCAGATATCTTTTATTTAGGTAGTTAGCAGAGCTGGAATTACCCAGTCTGCGGGTAATTAAGCTGTCATTAATATTGATTATATTGATAATTTTAGAATAAAATCTCGAAAATAATCTGAAATTAAAAAATTAATGACAGCTTATTATATATTTAATTTCCTTTGCAAAAGATATCTAAATTATTTACAATTTATCAGCGGCACTTTCACAAAAGTTATCAATGGCAATTCCTGACAATTGTCTGGAGCCAAATAAATATTGCAGCTGGAGAAAAATTAGGATTATAAAGCTTATGATTATTATCAGATTTAGAATAAAGCTGCTTTAAAATATCTGATAATAAAGCTTAAAATAATAATAACATTAAATTTTTTAAAAAAATAAAGCTTATAATAATAAACTTTAAATTTAAAAAAAGATTAAAGTTTATTATTATAAGCTTTATTTTTTTTGAAAAATTTAATTCTTCAAAAAAATTTTTTTAATCCTAATTTTTCTCCCACACATTTTTATAATTGCCCGTTTTCTCTTTGCCTTAAACCATTCCCGCGAACAGCGAACAACAAATAGCCCCGCCCACTTTGCCTTAGAGAATTTTTTCTTAAATATTGAGAAATTGAAAACACAGTGATTACGACCATACCGCGTTGAAAGCACGCCATCCCGTCCGATCTGGCAAGTTAAGCAACGCTGGGCTTCCTTAGTACTTGGAACGGAGACGTCCTGGGAATCGGGGGTGTCGTAATCTTTTTTTAATGCTTTGGCAAAAATTTGAGTCTAAGAATACACACTTGAGTCTATAGAAAAAATTATTTAAGTTTTTTATAAATTGTAGTTTATCATGTACATACCTTTTACTTGAGTATAATTGAGTAGATAATGATTGCCTGGGGGAACCCTATATTATATACATACCTTTTACTTGAGTATAATTGAGTAAATGATTTTATACTTGAGTAAATGATTTTTACTTGAGTATACTTGAGTAGATAATTATTGCCTGGGGGAACCCTATTACCCTACGACACTTGGTCAATTGCACTTTGGTCTACTTTGCCTGAGGCAATTTTTAATCGGATCGTCACAGACTCATAAACCAAAAATGCCTGGTGAAATTTGATTGCCTGGGGGAACCCTATTACCCTACGACACCCTACGACACTTGGTCAATTGCACTTTGGTCTACTTTGCCTGAGGCAATTTTTAATCGGATCGTCACAGACTCATAAACCAAAAATGCCTGGTGAAATTTGATTGCCTGGGTCTACTTTTGACAATGCACTCTGGCCTACGGCACTTGGATAAACATGTCTATAGTATATAAAAAAGAC